GGCATTGGTGGTGCAGGAGGGGGAGCAGGCCGGGGAGCAGGGACACCGTCGACAAGCCTCATGCAGCAGGGAACGACCAGGGAACAGGCAGGGGACGAGCGGGGGAGGGCAGGAAGCGGGCGGGCTACAGCTGCAGCGCGCAGGGGCGCGATCGGCGCGTCGGGCTTCGATCATAGTTTAGCTTCTGTATGTTGGCTAGCCTGAGCTAATATCATTCCATTAGTGCTTCTATCTACAGTCCGATCAGATGAGATAGCCAAAGACAGGCTACATGAGCTAGTAGTTATAAATATGCGTGTCCCTATTGCTTCCCTAGCCCACCTCCGCCGAGGCTTTCAAACCCTCTAGGATGCCAATATGAAGCCGGGATAGCATTCACCTTATCTACGCCCCGGAACCGTAGCTAATCTTATCTATCCGTGTGCATCTGGACCCGCTACAAAAGGTGGGGATTAAACACGGTTAGGTGGGCTCAACGCGTCTGCCTAGTGGTGCCTTGTACGTAGTGAGTGGCGGGGATGTCTGCACACTCGCAGAGTATGTTCACGGCGACTTCCTGAGGTCGATGGAACCCATGGGCGCGCATATATACTCCTAATGAAGTGTCATTGCCGGTATATCATTATACAGAAGCAGAGACATGTACCTTTGTATAGCTCGCGTATTTTGTCCTTGAGGGGAGCCAAGCAGGGATTAAGGGCTTCGAGGCTGGGTTCTGTTGGCCCAGGAATGGCCATTGCAAGGTGGACGTTATGTGGGAGGAAACGAACGGCGCGGTGGAGGTTGTTGAATGAAAGATACACTGCACCAACCGAGTACGGACGAGAGTCTGTAATACCAAACCTATGCGGACGTTAGCAAATAAAAAAACGAAGACATAACAATGCAACATACCAATCAATGTTGATCGTCAGGCTCAGCCCAATATCACATGAGAACAGTGAGCGACGAGAGCCTGGTCGCTCCTCGACATCCTCGGGCGATCCATCTGCGTGAAAGATGCGATTAAGGCCAATTTCCTGCTGGCTCCACTTGCTACCGTCGTAAATGTCATGCATGGGGGTTTCATCGTTTACTGGGGGCCGGTGTTCGTCGGATGAGGTGTCCCGGAGGTTGCTGATGAATGATGGGCATAGCAGAAATCGCTGAAGTGCTGGGCGGAGAGGGCAGTACAGAAGTATCTTCTCGGGAATGTGTTTCTCGTTGACGGAATCGCTGGGTGCGTCGTCATCCGGGCGTGGGCGCTTGACCCGATATATTTGACCCTTGCAATATCGTGTCGGACAGGAGGGAGAGGGGAGGGCGTTGATATTGTCATAAGAGAAATGGTGGAAACAAGAGGGGCATACAGGAATCCGGCGCACGAAATCGTCGACAGCAAGCCCAAGATCCTTCTTCACTGTAGTGATAGAGCGACGAGGGGGAGGATATACCAGCAGCTTCCCGCATACATCGAGTAGATCAAGCCTGTCTTTGAGCTGCTGCGTAGCCTCGACCACCGTCGAGTTGCCGACTATATGCGCAGCGATAACCTGCAGGTAGGCGAGTCGCAACTCCGCAGGCTGCTGGAAGGCGGGTATGAGGATGTCTGCGGGTGATTCAATGCTCGTCAAGCGCTCGTGCGACCGTTCTTGTACAGCTGTTGTAGGTTAGCATACAAGAGCAAGACTTAAAAGAGAGTCTCACCTTCCGAGAGCTGTCTCTCCTCAGGAGACTCGGGGGGCGTCAACGACCGTAAAAGAAGAGATGACGGGGGAGGTGACCAAGGTAAATGCTCTGGCGATGAAGGGAGGAGTTCGGGAGAGGACAGAGGGAGGAGCTCGGGGGAAGAAGGCGAGGACGATGAAGGCGGGAAGTCGAAGCCTTGCTCTTCATAGTCATCTTCAAATCCTGTGCTGTCCGAATAGAAGAGGTCGATGTTGCCAGAGAGCTCAATACTGGTCGATTCCGGACTGCTCGAGAGTCTCGCTGCGACATTTATGCTGGAAGTGGTTCTGGAAGCGTTTGCTGTGGGCTCGAGTGGGCCGGTTGGAAGTGGAGCCGTCTGCAGGAGCACAGACGCTGCAAGCTGACGCTGTCTGCGCTCTTCCTCTTCTCGATCGCGCTTTTCATGGCGCAGTCGCGTGCGAGTGCTGACCGGTGCACCATTCGGGCCGCACTTGTACGACCAACAAAAGCAGAGGTCGTCGGAAGGCTACCAAATTAAACGATGTTAGTGAACGGGGATCCCAGACAATGGGCTCACCACCACCATGAACGTATGGCTGCAGGGAAACGACGTCAACGATTGGAGGGAGAGGTGGGGACTTACGAACTGGCATTGACGCGTGCAGAGGACGCGTTAGCATCACGAGCTTGAAACGACAAGTCAAAATTCAAATAAAATATATTGCTAAGTCCCTAATTAACAGAGCGAGGGTATAGGATAATAGAGGGGACGCGTCGGGCACATATGGCTGGCTAGGATCTGACTGGAATGTGGGACAGATGTGCTGATCTTGAGGCGAATGCTGAGGTCAATGGATTAGGCTAGGATCCGCGAGAAATCCGCTTAGGATCTCTAATTCAAGGCCGATTCCCGCGCGTCAGAATCTGCGTTTTTCCGCAGTGTACAGTGAGTGGATACTTAACAAAAGGGACCGGGACCAAGGTGCGTCGCATGCTGGAATTTCCCTCTAATCATGACTGACTCGCTCGAAAACCTCCTCCTGCATTATGGGCACTCTCTTCCTCCACGCCTTGCAGACTCTCTGCCGCCTTCATCCCTCCCCATTGCCACCTTCCTTCGCTGCTCCCTCCCCCCTCTTGCCAACTCTGACCCTCCTGTTCTGGCTCATGACGCTGTCACTCATCATATCCCATCAATTGACCCACCTCTCGAAACAATCGCCATCCCACCCCGTTCATATCTTGTCAATCTCGAGAATGCCCTACGCACCCACTTTCGTATTCATGGCAATACCAAGCCCTGCAGCTTTGCAGGACTGGTTCCTCACCTTCACCTCCCCCCCTATGCATTGCAATACTGGTTTGTCATGCGGACGACCTCCGAACTTTGGCAGCAGTGGATGGCTGTGGACCTCGCCCTCCGGACTCGTCTTTCCACCACCCTGGCCACCCTCCCTTTGTATCTAGCTCATCTTCCTCAAGGTCTCGAGGAGTTCTTCTCCACGGTCGGGTGGAACACCTGTGTCCATCCGAAGCACAACCTGTACTCCCCCCAGCTCATCCCCCTCTTCTTCGACCAACCACTCTCCGGTACTCTTTTGGACACTGCTTGTGGCATGCTTGCCAACTGGCAGAGTGCTGGCAGCATACGTAGTGATGTTCATGTCTCTACGCTCGAGGTACAGCATCCCTTTCTCTTTGACAGGCACATCGACTGGTCCCGGTTCGACAGCGACAAGCCCGGTCAACTATCTTTCCTCCGACGTCTCGGTGATGAAGCACGCAGCTGCAGTTTCCAATTCAAGCTTATCTTCCCCCTGCACGTCAACGAAAACCATATCTCCACTGCCATGCTCGACTTCGCCGACACTTCCATCTGGTACGGTGACTCCCTTAATCGCAACATCAGTGCACATGACCTCCGAGGCATGCGCAACTTTGGCAACGCTCTCGGCCTCACGTTCCAACATTCTGTCAAGACACTGCCCCATGCTACGCAACATGACAACTACTCATGCCCCGATATCACGATCAACACCATTGAACGCTTCATCTGGCCAGAGACAAAGCCTTGGACATCGGAGCATGCGAGGGCTGAGCGTCTCGAGTATGTGTTACTCCTGGCGACGCACAATGGTCTATATTCTTTTGTAAGTGCCCCATCCAATGTTTCTAGCCCGTAGCTTATGTTTCGTAGCCGGCATTAGGCTCCCTCAATGATATCATCACTTCACGTCATGATGGTCGCCGCCTCACTGGGTTACCAATCCCTCAAGCTCTTGGCTCTCCATCCGGATCCCCTCATTCCTCTGCTAGTTCTTCGCTACCTTATTACATTAGCTCTGCTACCGTAGCTCTATCCCCTGCCCCTCCCCATACTGTAGTTCAATCACGAATCCATTCTTTTTCCCTCAGATGTCGCGTGCTCAAGCTGAGGCTACACGCCTCGCAACAAAGCCTGAGCGTCTTGCTGATGCTGAGGAACGTGCACGCTTTTTCGAGGAGGATGACATGTTACGAAAGCTCAAAAA